GTGTCCACTGCTTGTAGTCTTTGTATTTTGGTGAATGTAGTACGACATCCGAGAACTTTTGGCATAGTAACTATATCCACACTATGACCAACAAGCATACTACCTACTCAATTTACATCACAAATAGTACCGTTAGTGCGGTTAGTATGAGTATTCGAACACAGTTTAGGTGTCCAATCCAAAGCACAAAAATATATGGAAACATGAACACATTACCTTGATGCTTTCGCTGTTAAATATAACGAGACTCCGCTGTAAATCAAGCAGACAACAACAGATGATGATCCTCAATTCTCTAGGGATATTAGATCCAACGTGGATCCAGGCACAACTGTCTTCACCAGTGTAAGGAATGATTCACCAAAATATTCGGGAAATTCCTTGTGAACACCATTTTTCCAGCACTTGGGCTGTTGCATTGTTAGTGCTATTAAAACAGCTGTTCATCACTTGACTGTCATTCAAAAAATTTCTTCCTGGATCATATGGCTGCTTCGCATGATGTATTGTTGTCTCTACCTTCTTGCCGTTTGTGCTGTTGTCTGTGCCCAATCATGTTTGTACCATGTTATGCTGCTACCATGTGGTGCTGCTGCCATGTTGTGTTGCTACCATGTTGTTGTTATGTCGTGTTGCTTCCATACTGTGTTCTCATGTGTTGCTGCCATGCTATGTTGTTGTCTTAGGTCTCTCTTTATGTAGTGTTGTGGTGTCTCTCTTGTCGTGATGTGTGTTTTGTCCTATATATATATATATTTTTTTTATCCCAGCCCCCGTCCCCGCAGGAGGCCTTTTGGTAGGCCGTCATTGTAAATAAGAATTTGTTCTTCCTTCTTAACTGACTTGCCTAGTTAAATAAAGGTTACATAAAATAAAATATAATGATGTGTGAAAATATCACAATTTAACTAATCTGTTGGACACCAAATACTCATCCAACAAGTATTATGCATAATTATCGAAGAACCACATTAATGACAGTATTGATTTAGGTTTTAAGTATCAAGGTAAGCTGACTCTTTTGGTTAGAAGCAATCAAATTTTGCAATCGCATTTATTATTTTGGATTTGTGTGCCCATAAAAACTATTTTCACCCAGTAACATAAGGAGACACGAAATGTTATCTAGTTACACTGCATTTTTGATATCTCTATTCAAAAAACTTTCCAACAGCTAGATCCAGGATTCTTACAGGGTTCAAGTTTAATGTCTAATTTAACTGATTAATGCTTAATATGATATAACGACAACTTACACTGCAATAAATGCAAGGACAAAAAAGTAATGTTTTATGTCACACGATTTTGGACAAATCCGTCAAGACACCAACCATGATAAAGGATATTTCTCAACTCATGAATTTTATTGACTTATCAACAGCTAACACGTTGTCCAGTGTAGGAAATCCTCACTGGTACCCTGGTTTATAGAAACACCCATATCAGCAACATTTTCCACTGTTGTGTATTGATTTACTAGCTACACCGAAATCTGTTGCTGGTTCTGGTTGCACACAATAATTTCAAGTGACAAATTCCAGTCAACTTTTTCTCATTCCATTGCTCTAAATGTTTACTGTTGGATCACAACCCTGGTTCTGCAACAAATAGTTATTTGAAGTGTTCATTTGAAGAGGGGCTATGACGATGAACAGGAAGCTTCTGTAAGGCAGTGCTAGATGACAGACTTTTACATCCGTTTTTGAACGCTCTCCTCCCTCTATCTCCCCCCCCCTCTCCCTCCTGCTTTCTCTCTTTTCTCTTGCTGGCTGATTTGAGCGGTCTGTGTGGTGTGTTCTCCTGAGACCGAGTTAAAGAAGGGCAAAGAACATTCACAGGCTGAATGCGGAACGTTGGGATTTCTGCTTTTCCAGGCTTTTCCCTGACTTGTCCGTGGTTTTCCTTATGTTCCATTCCAGCCCAATGCGCCGTTCTGTTCTGCACTCCTCTCTCTCTCTCTCTCTGTTAAGTGTTTGCGTCTTTGGAAAGCTCTGGAGTTTTCTCCGCCCCAACTCTTTACCTGATCACTAATGTCTACTAATGGTTTACAGTACTCGTTTAAACAGTTTGAGGGGTTTAGAAGTGATCCTGGGATACCAATACCTATGTATACTCAAGGGATCAGATTCAATCAAACCCACACTGGAAAACCTGCAGACATATCATATTGCTCATGTGTCAAAAATATAATTCAAACCAAAACTAGTTTTGTTTGATTTCACGCTTCCACTCACTCCTGTTCTTTCCAGTTATGTTTTTCTTCATCACATTCTAGGCCTAGGGTCTGTCAGCTTTCTCTGTCTCTGTGAGTTGTGTCCAACTAAGCCCTTTCCCATGGAGTGGCAAGAGCCAAACGCCTCCACTGCCATATTAACATCTAACAGCACTTAACCTGAATGGACAGAGCAACACATCTCCAGTGGTCCATCCCACAGAAAGTCCAGACACAGGCAATGAATATTAATGCTGATTGAGCTGACAAAAAGTTTCCCTGACTCATGACAGCCAGTGCTTGTCGGCTGGTATTACTTTCCTCTCTCTCCATTTCCTGAGAACTGGGAGTGACACTGTCCTGTTGCTCTGGATGCAGAGAGGTGATGAGGATGAGGGTGAGAGAAAGGGCAGAAAGGTTGTTCATTTTGTTGGGTTTCTTAGCTCTGCAGGGGCTCCAGTCCAGGCACCAGCCCTGGAACCAGCACAGTCCTAGTCCTATAGTCCTGGTTTTAACCACAACCACAGCCCATAGCCCCAGTTCTAGTCCAATAACTAACCCCTGCCCTATCCTAAGTCATGACCCTAGTCCACGTCTCTGCCCTGGGGCTGGGCCTAGTCCTATCCCCAATGCTTGGCCCTAGTCCTAGCCCTATAAAATAGCACTAGTCCTAACCCTAAACCTAGTCCTATCCTTGGCCTTGGCCTTGGCCCTAGACCTACAAAATAACCCCAGTCTTGCCCCTGGCCTCGGTCCTGGCTGCCCAGTGGAGGGGAAGCTGCCTGTCTTTGATGCCTCCTCTAGTCAGGTCAGCCAGAAAGATGCTGACTGTCGGAAGATCCCACACTCCAGAAAGGAGTCTTGTCTGGCTCAAAGACTAAGTTACAAACACTTGCCTCTCTCTCTTTCTCTCTCTCTCTCCCTCTCTTTCTCTCTCTCCCTCTAATCCATCCTTCTGCCTGTTTAGAGCTGAACAGAAGGATAGAAAAGGAAGAGAAAGAGCTCTCGCATGTTTTTGTGTGCGATTGAAGGGTAACCTTCCCCCCTTTAAATGGAGAACAGGGAAAAATCCCCCTAAATGCCCAGTAGAGGGGATGTAAGGACTGGAATGGTCTTTTCTGCCAGCCTGTTAGCATTGTGGAGTGAGCCCACTATGGGTTCCTCTTTGGCCTCTCTTTTTCTATGTCTCTGTAAACCTCCAGTGAGCCAGCCACTAAAGGATAAATGGAACGGAGACATGTTAGGAATTAATGAGGTCGCTCTGGGTTACATTTGCCAGTTTTCTGGGCGAGCTGAGCAATGTTTGTTGATATTTTACATAGATTTCATAGCCCCCCTGTTTCCGGCTCTCATGCTGTAGCCAATCAAAAACAAAAATAGGAGAGTGTTTTGATAACTGGAAAGGGGTTTGCTGGAGTAGCACATTCAAAGACCTGAATTTCCGCACAGGGAAAAATTAAAGGAAAAGGAGAGGAAATATGAAAGAACCAAACATAACAAACATGATGGTGTCTGGTGTGAGACTGCTGTAACATAGTTTAGAGAGAGCGGAGGGTGGTCTCCAGAGAGTGTGTTTAGGTGTGAAAACTGACTGTGTGTGTGTGTGTGTGTTTGTGTGAGAGATCTGCAGAAAAATCGCGAGGTGAGAGGTATGTGTAAGGTAGCAGACTGCCTCCTGCTGCTTTCAACCGTTCATCAGTAGTGTGTTTTGTCTTTCAATGTATGAGTTGCACAACAGGAGGCTGCACACAGTGGATGTTTATTGTTAGTGTATGTGGGTGAATATGGCAAAGGTGAATGCTCATAAACATACAGGAGTATGTCTACTGTATTAATAGTACATGCCTGTGTGATTGAGCGTCCACAGACTCTCTCCCACCTCTGTATGCATAACATACATATTATGTATGCAAAAGCAGAGCTCTTCTCTCTCTTCCACCTCTACAGTATGATCATACGTTTGTCTGTGTGAGCAGTCTCTCCCACCTCTCTCTCTCAGCCCTGTACCGCTAGCTCAGGAAGTTGTTCTGGGCGTATCGAGGGCAGGCACACAAACAGGCTGGCCCGGACAGGGCTCAAGGTGGGGGGAGGCAAAAGAGAGGGGGGGGGGGGGGGGGGGGGTGAGGGGGCACTTCCTCCCATTCTTCTCCAGAGCGGAGTTCCCATGAGCGGCCATGCCAAGAGCAGTGTGGCTGGAGCAGGCCGACGCAGCACCAGTCTCGCCTCCGCGACGCCAGCCCCCACACACGGACACACTCAGAGCAGAGAAGACTGGACAGCGCTAGGAGGACTCACTGTGTTGTGAGGACCCATACACAGCACTCAGAGGACCCATATACAGCATTCTGTGGACCCACACATAGGGCTTGGAGGACCGCACCAGGAGCATTTGGTGACTGCGCTGACCACATACAGAGAACGGTTTCCAGCGCATCTAATTTACTGCATGTTGACTATGCAGATAGGACCATACCTAGTGGTTGCCTCATAGAGGACAGCAATCAACACCATACTGACTGGACTATTCCATAGAGGACCCTAACTAGACAACCACACACAGAGTACCATCCAGAGTGGACCGTGCTGGTCTGGAATCAGATTGGGGACCATACATAACACATTGAAGAGTACATACAGCGTTGGGCGAACCCAAAGGACCACACAGACCATTGCGTTTAGGAGATCTTCCTCTGAGTATAGAGAAGAACAGAGGAACTCTAGAGGAACATCCTCAGAGAACCATCCAGGACTGTAGACAGAGAAGCATCCACAGTGTCTCTGTCTTCAGGAGGAGCTTGGAGTCATGCATACCATCCACGGGCTGTGTAGGGTCTGCATCGCCGCTAGACTGCCTCAGGTCTGTCCCCCTAGATAATCACCTGAAGAGAGAAAGGGAGGGTGGGAGGGAGGGAGAGGAGGATAGAGGGAGAGATAGAAGTGTGTTGTGCATAGGGGTGTGACAAATTGGGGGAGAGTGTCAGGTAAGTGTGCGAGTGAGAAGAGAGGGAGAGGACAGGGAGAGGGGTAGGATGGTGTGGAGAATGGGGGTAGTGGGAGGATGGAAGAAGAGGGGGAGAGGATGAGAGATGGGTGTTCAAATAGGGTTCTGTGTGTAGCCGGCTGTTTTGGAGAGACTGCAACACAGGCAAAGAGAATATGTTAGAAAGCATGAAAATTTGAAAATGACAAGGGAACAGAAAGATGAAAGAGCAATGATGTAGGAAGCAGACCGTTCAATTGGTTGTGAAACTATATTGATTTTTTTGTGTAGTGAGAAGGGAACAGAAAGATGAAAGAGCAATGATGTAGGAAGCAGACCGTTCAATTGGTTGTGAAACTATATCGATTTTGTTGTATAGTGACAAGGGAACAGAAAGATGAAGAGCAATGATGTAGGAAGCAGACCGTTCAATTAGTTGTGAAACTATATCAATTTTTTTGTATAGTGAAATTGGATTAAGGCACCGGAACAATAAGAGATAGATAGATAGGAGAAAAGTTAGGGAATTTATATTCGAGGCTTTAGGCATTACTTTGCCATTGGAAAGCTCACTCCTACAGTATCTAAAGAATAAGGGAAGTAATGATGAGGAAACCAGTGTAAAAACCGAGTGGATGAAAAGAGAGAGTGTGTTCCCTGTTTCCTGAGACAGAAGAATGTGGTCTCCGCCACCTGCTTTATTTATCCAGAGGCAATCTGATGGAAAAAAAGAGAGAAAGGGAGAAAGTTGAGACTGTGCTACAGGCAAAATGTACAACCAAAGTCTGGAGTTTCTCATCCTCACTTAAAAATGACTTTGAATCAGTCTCAATCTTATGGCTTATAGCACTAACCTTTCTTATCTAACAGTTTGCAATCAGTGATTGGAGTTTGCGTGGCATCGCGTCAGTACAGTGTGTTGACATGGACACAATACCTGGCTGGCAGGGAGTTTGTTTTATTTGTCAGCCTAGACACATTGTCACCAAAACACAGTGACCCAGATAAGGCCTTGCACAACAGACCGGGACTGTCTTACTGGAGCTTTAGTGTTGTGGAGTTCAGCACACAAACAGACCTGGTAGTGGATGGGAGAGAATTTGTATTTTGCTTTAGTCCTGTAGTGTGCATGCATGTGTGTGTATGTGTGTGTTTGTATGTGTGAGTATGTAAGTTAGTAGTGTAATCACTGAAGCACATCGGGTTGACAGGCTGTAGAGGCATCAAACAGAGCAGAAGCACACAGAAGACAGACAGACAGACAGTGGGTTGGCTCCCAGCTGTCGGCTCTCATAGTTAGATAGTGTCTCATATGAGACTGTTGAGGCAAAACAACATAGAGAGAAAGCTTGATTTCACACACGCATGCACCCACACACTGCGCATTTCACAGGACACAACAGGTCACGACTCCACACACACACACACACACACACACACACACACACACACACACACACACACACACACACACACACACACACACACACTCCTACGCGTTACATAAATGCACTCCTGTACAATTCATTTCCATAGCTAAGTCTCTGAATAGCGAGCAATGGTAGTTTCATACTCACTCTAAAGCACCATATAAGTGGGCTCGTAACCTTCTCATTTGACTGGAAGGAGATAGATTGAGGCATTAGAGGCTCTTGAGACAAACTGGAGATGGGAGAATAGCATCCAGATGCTCACTCTGAGCCAGCTTTGTATGCTGCCTGTCAGGTTCTCTGGCCTTGGCCTGAAGAGCTTTCCAAACTGCTCACATCAGTATTGTGCAAGGTTGGACTTGTGTGTTAGCGCATGGGAGAGCAAGACTAGGGATGAGGGTTAGTGAGTAAGAATGTGTGTGTGTGTGTGTGTGTGTGTGTGTACCCACCGTGTGCCCACTGTCAGGCCCTGGATGCCAGTCGGTGTGTCTTGTCTCCCAGTAGTCCGGTCCCACGCTCAGAGAGGCCAGGGGGCATCTCACATTAACACTACCCCCCACTACCCACCGCCCCTCTACTCTACCCTCCCTCTTCTACAGCGTGCCAACCTATCCCTTCACACTACTACCCCCTGCAGAGCCCCATCTCTCTTTCCCTTCTCTCACTGTCTCCCTCAGACACTCCCCCGGTCTTTCTCCATTCGCTTCTGTTGTTTCTCTCTTTTCCCCATCTGTCTTTTTGTCTCTTCATCTCACGTCTTCCTTCTGTGTCTCTCTTTCTCCCTCTCTCTCTCCCTCTCTCCCTCCCTCCCTCCCTCCCTCTCCCTCTCCCTCTCCCTCTCCCTCTCCCTCTCCCTCTCCCTCTCCCTCTCCCTCTCCCTCTCCCTCTCCCTCTCCCTCTCCCTCTCCTTCTCCCTCTCCCTCTCCCTCTCCCTCCCTCTCTCTCTGATCTGACAGTGGTGATGTTGTCTCTGGTCGTTAGCCAGGATGTAGGGTTATTAAACAGTTGTCTCCTCCACTACCCAGATGATCTACATTTTAAAACTATCAAGATTATCATCTATCAAACATTTAAAAATACTATCAAGATAAAAGAGTCTTGGAGCAACATTGTACTGTGTTTGTGTGTTCAGATAGACTTTAATTTCAGAGGCCCTATTGTCAGCAGATGAGATGGAAACAATGTTTTGGAGCGGAGCACTATTGATTTTGGCACACACACTGGGATTATTCCTGGAATTTTTACAGAAAGTTTTTGGGCATCGTACGTGTGTGTGTGTGTGTGTGTGTGTGTGTGTGTGTGCTTGCGCACCTGCTCTGTGTGGATGCTGTCCACAGTTGGCGTCAGATCCACACCAAAGCGCCGGCCTCATTTGATGAGGGCCACAGTGCTAGTTTGTTTGGCTGGTATCCACACACATTCCATCCACACACACTCAGCTGCTGGCCAGAGAGAGAACCACACTCTAATCTGTAGGCATATCTCACATGTTGGTCTAACTACTCCTATTTTGCTGTAGATGATTTTTCGAAAATAATATTTGCTTTTTACTCCATGGACATACATAGACATGTAATAATTGAATAATGTCTTTACATATGTTGATTTGATGTCTCTGTGTCTTTAGGTGACCATCCTTCGAGGAAAGGACGGCTATGGCTTCACCATCTGCTCTGACTCCCCAGTGAGGGTACAGGCTGTCGATCCAGGCAAGGCTCTCCTTTCCCTGCTGTCTGTGTGTTGATGTGTGTGTGTTAGTCTAGATGTGTAGTTGTGTGTATATCTGACCCAGCCTTGCCCTCTACTGTCCTGAGGTGGTCAAGCATATCAGGTTTGTGTGTAAATGATTGGGTAGAAGCTTGTGTGTGTAACTGCCCAATCTCTTGTCTTGAGGTGGTCGGCTGTTTGTGTGTGTGTGGGTATTTGCGTGAAATCTCTCTGTGTGTGTGTGTGTGACCCTCTACTGACCTTTCTTCAGGTGGTCCGGCGGATCAGGCAGGTCTGCAGCAGCTGGACACTGTGCTGCAGCTCAATGGTCAGCCTGTAGAACAGTGGAAATGTGTGGAGCTCGCCCACGCCATCAGGTACTACAGGCAGGGAGACACAGAGGAAATAATGGACTAAACCAACTTTGATAGGGATAACTATCTTCAACACTTATAGCTCCCCATGTACATTTTAAAAGTGTATCTATGCACAGCAAACCCTATATAGACACTCTGGCCTGTAGCCTCTTTGCTCACGTCCTTTGCCTTTGATAAGCTTACCTTTTCACATTCCCTCTCTCCCTCCCTCTACAGAAACAGCTCCAATGAGATCACGGTTGTGGTATGGCGCACCGGGCCGGCCGCCAAGCCCAGTTTTGAGGGCCTCATCCACCGGCCCTCCTACAAGCCCAACTATGACACCCCCTCGCCCCCCACCAGGCGGAGGGACAGGTCCAAGGACCGGCTAGACCGGGACAAGACCCCCCCGGCCGTGCCCCCCCTCCCTGCCCACCACAGGACCAGCCGCCGGGTGCTGGTCAACGGCTCTGAGGGGGGCGGCGGGGGAGGGGTAGGGGGGCCGTGGGGGGAGAGGGGGCGTGTAGGAGGGGGGGCGGAGGAGGTGGATGGTAAAGCCCGGAGCCAGACCCAGACCCAGAGCCACACAGCCACGCTGAAGGGGACTAGAGTGAAGGCGTCCAACGGAGATAACTACATCATCCTGGCCCCCATAAACCCAGGAAGCCAGGTACTGGCGGAGGAGCAGAGGCTCATGGTCCATCCCAGGCTCCTGCCCTACCCCCTTGATGGCACTATCTAGACCCTGACATACCCTGGAGATCTCAATATGTGCCATTCATACCTGCCATAGATCCGTGCCAATCCTACCTGACATACACTATCTGCCATCTAAATCTGAGATATACCCTGCCATTCTAACCTGAGAAATAACTGTGTAATTCAAACTGACACATGTGCATTCTGTAAATCAAAGATACAATATATAGTAAATAGTTAAATAGGTAGTTGAATGAGACATTTTGAAAAAATAGTATACAACCAAGAGTTGAGATTTGCTTCACCAGTAAGTAGTATTCAAGCCCATATATGGGGAAAGCCACATTTGGCCCATGGGGTGTTCTATCAAATGATGCACACTGTAACATCCTGTGACATACTGTATATGAGGCAATAGCTCTTTATGATAAAGACATAATAAAGTGTAACAAATGGAAAAAGAAACACACTGATTGTGAACTTGATTCCTTAACATCCCCAACCATACAACACTAACCATCCAGCCTGTAAAAATGGACCAGTTATGTTGAAGCAATGAATGCAGAGAACTAGAATCCCATAACTTCTAGTCTTTACTTAGTCCTCCATTATCTGTCCCACTGAGCTTGAACAGCCAATCACAGACAGTAATGCTGACTGTGTGGCTGAGGGCTAGCGTGACTCAGTAGCCTGGTTGTTAGAAGGCCTCTAGGGGAAGTGAAGGAGACTGTATACCCTGCTTTTCATCTAGACCCAGGGACCTAGACACTGTAGGGCTGTCGGTTAGTCTGGGAGCTGCTGCCTGCCTGGCAATCTAAGTGTGTGTGTGCGCTTGCTTAATGTGTGTGCGTGTGTAGGGAAGTGTGTTTGTCTGAGGGCAGCTATGCTACCTCAACATATATGGCATGACACAGGGCTCAGAGGGCATGATGGGAACGTCTTCTGTGTGTAAATGCTAAGAGGAGAGCACAGGGGTTAGGGGGTTAGGAGTGTGAGGGGGTGGACTGCTGTGGAGGGCTGTGGAGGAGGAGTGGATGGAGTGGGGATAGGATGCAGATGAGGGGATAGCGAAGAGGGCGAGAGAGGGATAAGAGAGGGAAACCCCCCATTAATCACCTTCCCTATGGGAAACATGGGATAGGGAACAGAGTAGATATGGGTAGTACATCAACAGGTTGGAATAATGGTTGTAAGAAGTAGAAGGGATTAATGGGGTAGAGAGAGGCAATTATGGATGGATGATGGGTACAGCAGAAGAGGGAGAAAGTAGAGGAAAGGAAAAATGTAGATAAAGCAGTTGCCAAAGTGGATGGAAATAAGAGGATAGAACATTTCAGACTAAATCCAAACTTTGAAGCATGGGGTAAATGAGCATCTCTCCTCCTCAGCCTGGTCAGCCTGGTCACAGGTCAGAGCAGGCATACAATCCATGATGATTTGGTTTCATCTTGTCAGCCAGTCCCCACTGAAACACACACAGCAGAGAAATCAATCATGGAAGATAGTTGGATGTACCAGCCATTGATATGCCTCTGGTTGGGTAGATCTTATATATCGGGTAGATCTTATCGTTAGGCAAAGTTCTAGGATCAGCTCCCCCCTCCCCCATTACATTTCCAGGGGCAACGTTACTAGGGTGCTTGAGTAGTTATCTGTAGGCACAGTTAAGGATCAGCTCCCTCCATCAACCATTCAATTTCCAAGGGCAATGTCATCCTTCTCTAGTATTCATAGAGCTAAGGTACAGTACAGTGTGTGGTTGACGTCTGTGTCACTCAATGCCATAGGAATCAATGAACAGCACAGTCACCATCATGTATCAACAGCACACATTAGCTATCAGAACACTGGGTCTATTCCTTGAGTTGAACACACACATATTGAATATGTGACATGGCTCAATGGCCTGATATCACATAGGCCTACTGCAGTACAGTAGAAATGGAGACAGCCAACAGTCTGTGGCCCCATTCCATGCTCAACATGACCATTGCTTCAATTTGACTTCATGTTAGGCATTTATTATGGTGGGATGGATACATTACATTACATGTGAAAGTATCCTAAAGCAGTGTATTGCTTAATGGTATTGGTCAACAGAACCATTGATTGTGATGTTTTTGTCTCTTTCAGATATTGAGGCCTGTCTACCAGGACAACCATGGTACGTTGGGTAAGCCATGTATTACTGACTACGATTTGAATGAACAATGTGGTTTGTCAAGACAATTCTATCTATAACCATTGTACTTTTATGTTCCCAGGCTAACTCCCAGTGTGTATGTATGTGGTGTGTGTGTGTGTGTGTGTGTGTGTGTGTGTGTGTGTGTGTGTGTGTGTGTGTGTGTGTGTGTGTGTGTGTGTGTTTGTGCGTGTGGTGTCTCTCAGCAGGGAGGATATACCCAGGTCAGGCCAGCATGCCCCAGACACAAGGGTCTGGCGGTGCCCCGCCTGGGGGTGTAGGACTAGCAGGCCGGACCACCTTCCTACGACGCTCCACTAATGCCAAGATGTCTAAGCCATCCGATGCCAACCTCTCTGGCCAACCCCCACCCAGCTACCAGCAGGCCCAGAGCTCCAACTTTGCTAATTACCAGAACTGTACTATAGTACGCTCCCATGTAACCACACGGCAACCCGCACAGCAACTATGGCTACGTCAAAGCAGCACCCAAGATCCTCATCTTCCCCATTTTTGTTCAGGTGTGTGTGTGTGCGTGTGTATGTGTGTATAAGTGACTCACCATATTTCCACTACCATCTTTCCATCTCTCCATTAGTGCCATTAGGGGTTTTCCCCTTTTATTTGGATAACTTTGAAGAAAACCACACCATGTTTGTTGCAATGCTCCTCCTCTCTGTGGTATGTGTGTAGCTACAGTGGGGGAAAAAAAGTATTTAGTCAGCCACCAATTGTGCAAGTTCTCCCACTTAAAAAGATGAGAGAAGCATGTAATTTTCATCATAGGTACACGTCAACTATGACAGACAAAATGAGAATTTCTTTTCCAGAAAATCACATTGTAGGATTTTTTATGAATTTATTTGCAAATTATGGTGGAAAATAAGTATTTGGTCAATAACAAAAGTTTCTCAATACTTTGTTATATACCCTTTGTTGGCAATGACACAGGTCAAATGTTTTCTGTAAGTCTTCACAAGGTTTTCACACACTGTTGCTGGTATTTTGGCCCATTCCTCCATGCAGATCTCCTCTAGAGCAGTGATGTTTTGGGACTGTCGCTGGGCAACACGGACTTTCAACTCCCTCCAAAGATTTTCTATGGGGTTGAGATCTGGAGACTGGCTAGGCCACTCCAGGACCTTGAAATGCTTCTTACGAAGCCACTCCTTCGTTGCCCGGGCGGTGTGTTTGGGATCATTGTCATGCTGAAAGACCCAGCCACGTTTCATCTTCAATGCCCTTGCTGATGGAAGGAGGTTTTCACTCAAAATCTCACGATACATGGCCCCATTCATTCTTTCCTTTACACAGATCAGTCGTCCTGGTCCCTTTGCATAAAAACAGCCCCAAAGCATGATATTTCCACCCCCATGCTTCACAGTAGGTATGGTGTTCTTTGGATGCAACTCAGTATTCTTTGTCCTCCAAACACGACGAGTTGAGTTTTTACCAAAAAGTTCTATTTTGGTTTCATCTGACCATATGACATTCTCCCAATCCTCTTCTGGATCATCCAAATGCACTCTAGCAAACTTCAGATGGGCCTGGACATGTACTGGCTTAAGCAGGGGGACACGTCTAGCACTGCAGGATTTGAGTCCCTGGCGGCGTAGTGTGTTACTGATGGTAGGCTTTGTTACTTTGGTCCCAGCTCTCTGCAGGTCATTCACTAGGTCCCCCCGTGTGGTTCTGGGATTTTTGCTCAACGTTCTTGTGATCATTTTGACCCCACGGGGTGAGATCTTGCGTGGAGCCCCAGATCGAGGGAGATTATCAGTGGTCTTGTATGTCTTCCATTTCCTAATAATTGCTCCCACAGTTGATTTCTTCAAACCAAGCTGCTTACCTATTGCAGATTCAGTCTTCCCAGCCTGGTGCAGGTCTACAATTTTGTTTCTGGTGTCCTTTGACAGCTCTTTGGTCTTGGCCATAGTGGAGTTTGGAGTGTGACTGTTTGAGGTTGTGGACAGGTGTCTTTTATACTGATAACAAGTTCAAACAGGTGCCATTAATACAGGTAACGAGTGGAGGACAGAGGAGCCTCCTTAAAGAAGAAGTTACAGGTCTGTGAGAGCCAGAAATATTGCTTGTTTGTAGGTGACCAAATACTTATTTTCCACCATAATTTGCAAATAAATTCATGAAAAATCCTACAATGTGATTTTCTGGATTTTTTTCCCTCCGTTTGTCTGTCATAGTTGACGTGTACCTATGATGAAAATTACAGGCCTCTCTCATCTTTTTAAGTGGGAGAACTTGCACAATTGGTGGCTGACTAAATACTTTTTTCCCCACTGTACATATGCTTCTGTCATAAACACATTAGAATTAACTAAATTTCCTCTACATGCCTACGTCCAAGCACTCATGCCCACTGTCAGGGTGTGATCGTATTGCAAAACTGGACTACCCACTTCCCCGGATTCTACAATCGTCTGTAATAGTACTTCCTGCTGACTAACTGAGTCACCGAGCTGCACAGTGAAACAGCCCTGTGGTCTCTCTAGCTCCAGTCCGGGTCCACAAGAGGATGTGGCTAACAACCCCGCTGCACTGGCGCTTTTAGCCTAGTGCCTCTTCACAGATTGAGACCTTTATAGAGCATCTCACAGATTCCTGCAGTCACAGCTCACACTGTGAGGATCTCTGTAGAGACTGGTGCGACTGTAGCTACACGAGAGCCGCCAGCTGCACAGCCTGTAGTGTTCCCTTTGGTGGGCAGAGAGCATGGAGCTTGGAGCCAGAATGGAGATGGTACTGTAGCTACATGCTCCCTCATGTACGGCTATGTTCATGAGAACATCCCTCCCAGACATGTCTATCAATCTGTATCTCTATTTAGTGGTATTTGTGAGTGTTGTGAATGATATTGGACTGTAATAGCAGTGTTACGAGTTATATATCAGTGACTTTGGCTATAGTATTGTGTACTGTCATTATAAGTGATATTAGTTAATGTAGTGTGTTTGAAGTGATATTAAACTGCAGTATTTTGCCCTGGATGATAATGTAATCTTCATTTCATTCCTAGTATGTTGCCTAAACTTAATCTAACTTTAATCTAATGTCAATCTAACCCTTAACTCTACTCTCCTCCTGTGTGTGCAGCCTCTGGACCTGTGTAACCCCACACGGACTCTGGTGGTCTCTGAGGAGATGATCCTCCACGAGAGCAAGCACCTCTCCATTAAGGTAAATGGCTTCTGACGAGAGGTCTGTGTGTGTGTGTGTGTGTGTGTGTGTGTGTCAGGATCAGTAAGTAAGATGGGACATGTAAATGTTTTTGACTGAGAGTATTTAAGAGAGGAACATGTTGTGAGTATCTGACACAAGTCTCTATACTGCCACTGTAGTTCTCTTCCTTCATATTCTACAACTGCTAATGTTTTTCGGGTTTGTTTAACTGTCAAAATGTTTCTGGAATGCACTATGGAGATTTTTTCCAGCCCTTGTCAATGTTCTTAAATACCCTCCCAGTGCCTCTGTCTGTGGTGTGTTGTGTGCTACCAACAGAGAACAGAGGAAACAGAGGAAGAGACCACAGTTAAAAAAACCTCTGGGTGGCTGCTGCACTGCGTTGGGCATGTCTCCTCTCCTCTCCTCTCCTCTCCTCTCCTCTCCTCTCCTCTCCTCCTCTCCTCTCCTCTCCTCTCCTCCTCCTCTCCCTCTCTTCTCTTCTCTTCTCTTCTCTTCTCTTCTCTCTCTTTTCTCTTCTCTTCTCTTCTCTTTCTCTTCTCATCTCTTCTCTTCTCTTCTCTTCTCTTCTCTTCTCTTCTCTTCTCTTCTCTTCTCTTCTCTTCTCTTCTCTTCTCTTCTCTTCTCCTCTTCTCTTCTCTTCTCTTCTCTTCTCTTCTCTTCTTCTCTTCTCTTCTCTTCTCTTCTCTCACACAGACAATGATACAGGACTAGCATTGGTACAAACCTTTTGCTAGTTTGCCAGAATCCATTTCATAGAGTTGGTTTATCATAGAGACGATGCTGACAACTCGGTTCCAAAATAACTCTACATCTCATAACTCTTTGAAAAGGGAGGGGGAGATAGAGCTCTCTTTTATGTCCTGTTCTGTCTGTGCACTCTTGCTTTTCTATTTAGCTCTTTCCATGTTTCTGTCTCTCTCTGTCTCTCTCTGTCTGTCTGTCTCTCTCTCTATCTCTGTCTCTGTCTCTGTCTCTCTCTGTCTCTCTCTGTCTGTCTCTCTCTCTATCTCTGTCTCTGTCTCTGTCTCTCTCTGTCTGTCTCTCTCTCTATCTCTGTTTCTCTCTCTCTCAATAAAATGAAATGAAATTCAAATGGCGTTATTGGCATGGGAAACATATGTTTACATTGCCAAAGCAAATGGAATAGACATTAGACAAAAGGGAAACCTCTTCACACTGTCAGTGAGCTGTCATTTCTACTTGTAACACTTTTCTTTGTTCCATATGGCTCATTAACACTGTATACCGATAGTTGCAATTCATAGGTCATTGTTTATGACAGAAAATGTACATTGATATTCATTTCTAGATTGTCAGCACAATTTCTATCCATTTATTTTCATTTGGAAATATTTGACTTGTTATTTAAGAGCAAACATAGTTGAAAGAAATGTTGAGGTTGTGGCACAGTATTTAATGGGAAACTGCTGAATAATACTACAAAAATATATGGTCTATCTGTCTATCTGAAATTCACAGATTATAGTAAATGTTGCTTACTGTACAATACTGTATTACACACATACAGTACCAGAGATAAAGTGAAATTGACCGGGGTCACACACTTACTAAAAAGTCATGACAATACACACAATGGTCTGAGGAATGATAATGTCCTGTGGCCCCCATTGCCTCTCTCATTCTTCTTCTCTCTTTTTCCTCGCTCTCACTCTCACTCTCTCTCCCTCTCTCTCTCTCTCTCTCTCTCTCTCTCTCTCTCTCTCTCTCTCTCTCTCTCTCTCTCTCTCTCTCTCTCTCTCTCTCTCTCGTTCTCTCTCTCGTTCCCTCTGTCACGTTTCCTGACCTTTGTGTTGTGTTATCAGTGGGAGAACCATGTGGCCTCCAGAACTTCCTCTACAGTTACTTATCAGTGGCTACATAACCATTGAGTAGCATCATCAGTACAGTACAATGGACTGGGGGACTTTCTTTTGATTGATGATTCATCGAGGTTCCATTGGTTCCAGACAGTAGTTTCAATCAAATACAGTATTCACTAAATGCATTTGCTGCCTCTCTCTCTCATATTTTATAAACCATACTGTATTTCAGTTTTTACGAGAATGCTTCAAAAAGAGCAATACAGTACAAAGGGCTCATGTTGCCCATATTTGCCCTTGTAGTTGTAACTGCCTGTAAGTCATGCAGTCATTCTATAGACTGGTGGTTGAATGTGATCACCTCCCTTTGGACTTGGCTTTAGTGGAAAGCTACAATACCAGGTTGTGGTGGATGAGGGTGGATATGTAATACACAGAAGTTTTCCACCCTGTGTTTTCTGGGAATGAGAGAGCGGAGCGAGATAGGGAAGCCATGCCAAACTGGGCAGCCATTGTGATAATATTGTCCAGGAAATGTGATGGAGAGGTGTGTGTGTGTGTGTGTGGGGGGGGGGGGGGGTTTGCTAGGTGGTTGGCAGAAAGGGTGTTTGACCTCACTCAATACATGCACAGTGATGTGATGTCAAGTTTTAGCAAGATGATATTTTCAGCAACTCAGTCTCTCCCCTCTCTCTCTCTCTCTCTCTCTCTCTCTCTCTCTCTCTCTCTCTCTCTCTCTCTCTCTCTCTCGCTCTCACAAACACACACACACTCAAACGCACATCCTGACAGGTTGATTCTGGGCGACCTTCCTATCTATTCCCCTCTCACCTCCCTGAGAAGACAAAAGAGATCAGCTGTGATTTTTTGGTTGTTGTTGAGGGGTTGGCTTAAAAAACAACTCTGACCCTGTTGACATGAGTCTTCTTGACATTCTCTTCCTCCCTGAGGGGTTCAGGTCTGTGGACATATCTAATTGATTGATAGCAGACAGGAGAGGAGGGAAAGAGAGAGGGAGGGAGTGGGGGCTCTGTGCGGAGGACTGGATGTTAGAATATCCCTCTATCACCTGCTCTGTGGGTTTCAATTGTGTTCATGTGTGTGTGTGTGTGTGTGTGTCTACTGCAGATAAAAATGGACAGTACTGCATACGTACTGTGAAGTATTGTCTTTTCTGTTCCAATTCTTCACAGTTTTTTCACTTTCATTGTGCCAGATGAGCTTTTCAGATCCTCACTGTGTCTCGGAGCAGAGCATCGGAGCTGAATGGTAATTGTGGCCCCTGGCTGGGACTTGATAAAAGAAGACAAATATTTAACAGTTCGTGTTTGTAGATAATCAGTGTGGGGCCAGACATCTCTAACATCCAGACATCTGTATTATTACAGCTTTTACCTTGGTGATGCAAGACTGGCCGTACTACCCTGGGCGCACACCAAACTCCCACACACACATACACATCGAAATACACACATATGCCTGCGCACAAGCACGCATTCACACACACACACGCACAAGTAATAGTGGTTGAGTGCTTTTCTGAAGAGAGCAAGTATAGAGATAAAGCTTACTGACATCTCTGCACCAACCTACTTCACCCACCCACACACAGACAGACCGACAGACCACAACAGCAAGACCATCAGTATCGTCTCGATCTGCATAGAAACCACATACACAAAAAAAATAACATACCCCGCCCACACATAGCCTACACACACTGTTTGCTGTATTGTGTTGATGCATATGATAAAATACCTTTGCTGTAGCTTCCTTGGTGTTGCCCAGAGGGGCTTTACTGAGTGTGTTGTTTGTTTAACACTAATGTGAGGCCTGACCTTTAACAGTTAGTACTGTGCCTTCTGTTAAGAGAAACAGGGAAATACATGCCACTGACACACACACACAAACACAAACACATTCACGCACATAAAGTATTTGCATACACATTATTATTTATTGCAAACAGTATTGCACGTGCACAGACAGAGTATATTAAAATCAAATCAAATTTTATTTGTCACTTGCACCGAATACAACAGTATGTAGACCTTTCTGTGAAATGCTTACTTACAAGCCCTTAACCAATGCAGTTTTAAGAAAAAGAAGAGTTAAGAAAAATATTTACAAATTAAACTAAAGTAAACAATAAAAGAGCAACAATAAAATAATAATAACGAGGCTATATACAGGGGGTACCGGTACCGAGTCAATGTGCGAGGGTACATGTTTTATTCGAGGTAATTGAGGTAATATGTACATGTACAGTTGAAGTCGGAAGTTTACATACACTTAGGTTGGAGTCATTAAAACTCGTTTTTCAACCACTCCACACATTTCATGTTAACAAACTATAGTTTTGGCAATCGGTTAGGACATCTACATTGTGCATGACACAAGTACTTTTTCCAACAATTGTTTACAGACAGATTATTTCACTTATAATTCACTGGATCACAATTCCAGTGGGTCAGAAGTTGACTGTGCCTTTAAACAGCTTGGAAAATTCCAGAAAATGATGTCATGGCTTCTGATAGGCTAATTGACATCATTTGAGTCAATTGGAGGTGTACATGTGGATGTATTTCAAGGCCTACCTTCAAACTCAGTGACTCTTTGCTTGACATCATGGGAAAATCAAAAGAAATCAGCCAAGAACTCCGATTTTTCCCCCCCAAACGCCTGTACAAACAATAGTACGCAAGTATAAACACCATGGGACCCCGCAGCCGTCATACCGCTCAGGAAGGTGACGCGTTCTGTCTCCTAGAGATGAGGGTACTTTGGTGCTAAAAGTGAAAATCAATCCCAGAACAACAGCAAAGGACCTTGTGAAGATGCTGGAGGAAACAGGTACAAAAGTATCTATATCCACAGTAAAACAAGTCCTATATCAACATAACCTGAAAGGCCGCTCAGCAAGGAAGAAGCCACTGCTCCAAAACCGCCATACAAAAGCCAGACTACGGTTTGCAACTGCACATGGGGACAAAGATCGTACTTTTTGGAGAAATGTCCTCTGGTCTGATTAAACAAAAATAGAACTGTTTGGCCATAATGACAATTGTTATGTTTGGAGGAAAAAGGGGAAGGCTTGCAAGCCGAAGAACACCATCCCAACCGTGAAGCATGGGGGTGGCAGCATCATGCTGTGGGGGTGCTTTGCTGCAGGAGGGACTGGTGCACTTC